AATCAGTGAGATATCCCCAAAACAGTTGTAGGGATTTGTAACTTGGGTCTCTATAGACGAATCTATGTCGGAGGTTCAAAATTGGGACATTAATTACCATCCAAGCCACAATACAGATCGATCTGCCCGCACATTTGACACTGTCACGTTGCATCGCCCATCCGTCTCCGTCCTTGTTCGTTGCATTGATTTATCAGTCTCATTTTCTTTTCCTGCACCAGAAAATGAGAGTCACAAGTAGTTACGAAGGTCGAAGGATGTTCGTGCACTACTGACGACAAAATTGGAGGGGGAACTCGCAGTTTTTTTCATACACGCGAAACCCCAATCTTATCGTGAGAGAGAGAAGTAAAAATACATAGTTAGATCGAAAAAGTAGTACATTTCATGTCAAAGCCAGACCGTCTTCTGCACTAATTTCCAATAATAACCAAACTTCGAGATCCTGCAGGTTCTGTGGAGAGATTGGCTTTTCTCATCAGACGAACTAGCTAATTACGTAAAATGTGAAAGTCTACGCGTCAAGAATTAGAAAGCAATGCACATAAAACGCCGCAGGGTCCATTAAACCTTTTCTACATAGAATAATACTGACACACGCAAAAGAGTTTCATTATTTGCATAATAATATATCCTCGCTTTTCCCAAGGCTGTCCGTGTGGCAGGTTTCCTTTATCAAGTGACTCATCCAATCTAAAATCGTGTCCATAATTAATAGAGGTTCAGTCAGATAAATGAATCAACCGATCTGCCGGAGGATTCATTCATTTTGCGTATACGTGATTGCAATTATGAGACCAAATATTGCCAAAATGAGGCAAGGCCGCAATGCAATTTATTATTATTACACATTTAACTGGTTGACGCTCCCTCTCCTCTGCCATCCGTGCTGAATAATATTTGTATAATTTGATGCATGGGTTTTGAGTCCGTGCACAAGTGGAGGAGAGATGGTGAAAAGAGATAATAATAAGGGAGCGACTGGAGAAAAGTTGGGATAGAGTTAGCTTAGCAAGATAATTGGACGAACACCCGCTGATTTCTCCCCACCACACCCTGTCGTCCCGGCCTTCCATTATGTACATAAGAACACAACCACAACATAACCTTGCGCCCAGATAACCCAACCACCAGCCAGAAGTTTGTACACATAAAATAAAATTTTCTACGACTAAGGAGTCATTCCTTCCATGGCTTCTTCTATCTGGAAGTAAAAAATAAAATAAAGGCGTGACGACAATTTCTGGATCTCCATCTCATCTCTGGCAACCACCAAGTTTGGCTTCGTCGTCACCTAAATCCTTTCGGATCAGCTTAAATCCCCACCGTTTTAGATATGCATTGCAGCCCTGTCGTCGTCGCCACCCTCCTCGTCGCTGTGTGTGTGTATGTCCCCGTAATTTGGAAGTTGTCGTTAGAAAAAGAATTATTGTGCGAGATGGAGAAGAAGTAGATGTTGGTGCGGATAAGGATTTTATTGGTGAAAATGAAAAAGTGAAGCCTTACGGGCAGACAAAATGATGAGATGAGACGAGACGAGACGACGTGAATATTATGAAAAGGGTGTAAAAATGTATCGATGGGAGAAGAAAGAATATTGTGAATATTGAATATCATTTATGTAAAAGGGGCCATCACATGAGACGAAAAATTTTGAAGGTCTTGCTAATATTTTTCAAAAACGATAATAATAAATAAATCGTTGCCCGCAAAAAGACAGTTGCTAATCCACGTCACATCACGACACAAGATGAGAGGAGGAAGAGTAGTTTTTTCGACGTGATGAGAAGGCATCAGGGAAATGAATGAGATGATGAGACAAGATTAAATTGAATGTATCACCAACACGTACACCCACCAACCACATCTCCAATCCACATCACTGCTCCCTATCTCATCATCCAACTAAATATAACTACACCGAGTGACATGTTGTGTCTCGAATCAAAGTCAAGATGGTTTTTTCTTCTTCTACTCTCTGTTCTGTCAAAAGGCCGACTTTCACTCACTCATTCATGAAGGAAGAGGAACCTATTTCTCTCCTTACTTATTTATTACGAGGCTTCTCTCTTCCTTCTCTCTGAATCAAGATTCCAAACTCGCCTTGAGATCTCTGGATTCGTTTCATGCAGGGGGAATCAAGAGGGGAGGATGAAGGCATACATAAATTCATGGCATGATGAAAGATTAGTTTTGTTTCTAATAATATTTCGGTGGTGATGATGTCGCGAAGGTGGAGAGGTTAGATTAGTTTTGGGGGGTTTGGTATTGCACATGAATAACTGGCTTTCCCAGTCGTTTCATGGGTTATAAATATATGTACCTGCAGCCCAGCCTTGTTTGTACATATGCGAAAGTGACCATGTATATACCTGGAAATTGCAATAACTACCCAGTAACTACACACTTATGTACCTCCAATCCACCTGAGCAGTATAATTATAGCATAACCTAGGTGCACCCTACAAATATGTACCATTGATTACTCAATACTTACTTTCTTTCATAGCGAGCCAGGCCAGCAGTATGTGGCCTACTTTTGTCCTAAAGTTTCACTTGAGCCTCTCCCTCCCTCGTTACGTCGTTGAAAGTCCTTTCTTTCCTCCACTCTTCAAGTAGTCCATAGCATTATTTTGCTGACGGGTGTGGGCATTACCCATGAGACTTTCTTCTTCTGCCTCAGGAACGAACGGTGCGGTGTATGCAGCCCATGACAAAAATTACATACTTGCCTGCACAGGACATCCATCATTGCAGCGTGATGTCTACCTTTCCCTACTTTTTGAGCTACAAAATACACATACGTAATATCGACTTTGACTGTACTTTCCCTTCCCGTTTTTCCTCTTGCTTGCTTTGTTACCTTTGCTTTCTCCCCTCGCTATCGCTCCTTTTATTCTTTTAAGTACGTGCACGCGACGGAGGTCCATTCATTAAAAGGAGTTCAAGTCCAAGTTATTTTAGGTACGGCTCTTAGCTTTCTCTTTGGATAAGTGTGTACACACGACAGCTTTTTTCGACGAGGGAGCGTCGTCGTCGTCGAACGAAATATTATTTTGTGGTTTACTTTGTCGTTTCGTGTTACAATAACTTTATTCGTTATCGCAACTTTGATCAAACTTTTCTTCCTCTGGCATGAACGTATACCTAGAAATAAATGGGATTGGATCAATATTCAATACAACGACGAACCACTTGGGGCTCAAACTTTCCGTGGTGGTGGTCATGTTCTCGGCGTTTGTTTGTTTCTGATATGTACATCGCATTTTAATCAAAGTGAATGGGTACTAAAATATTTAAGGTGTTTGAGATGGATGAAATATGGTAGATATAAATATTTTTAATCATCTACGTATGTTTGACCACAATACGGTTATTACAAATTTATATAAATATGGGCGGTTGTCAAAAACAGACCACCAAGGTCAAAACTTGTTGGTGAGGAATTTGTGGGCGAACAAAGTTTTGGGAAATCTGTACGTGTGCATTACAAAATTTTGTATACAATTGTGTACAATTCCAAGTATTGCAATAATTGCAATATGTCCAAATCTACCTCGTGCAAAACTCATGTTTTACAAGTTTTCCCCACAGAATTTATGTGCATTCGTGGGAGTTGGCAATGCTTTGTAAGCATCATCATTACTTTACTTCCTAGTTTGTGAGAAGTAACGATGTGCAAATAAAAAGAAGGTGCCTCGTCACCCCATATGGTACTTTCCCCACGAAGAATTTTTAGTATAATTATCCCTTCCCTGCCCCCTCCTTTCGTCTCCTGCCTGCTCTCTCATCAACTCAACTTCAAATGCACTCCATCCATCCAACCACTTTTAGTTGGGCACCCTTCTTCTTCCAACATGAAACCTTTAACTGGGATGAATCCCACGAGAAAAACAGACCCGACCAGGGCGAAAACATGTCCATATAGATAGAAACTCATGGTTATTTTAAGGCACCACCACCACCAACCGAGTTGTAATAACTGGCTGTCCAGATAGTAAAACAAGGAATCGCTCACGACTCCTACTACTTTTCCTTCCCAGATATAAACTAAATGTAACTTTTACGGCGTATGTACGAATGTGAGTGAACCCTTCTTTCTCTTTTTCGTGGGGGTAATTCCAGTCTCACACGGAAAATGAAATGCATGGTCGGATCGATCCTTCGTTTGGGGTTTTACCTGCTCGTTCCTACTCCCGGACGAAATCTTTGCTTTTCACCTTCCAAAAGTTTGACAACGCGTTTATCCATGTTGCAAGAGGAGCGAGTTGTTGTCCGTGTAGAGCATACAAACTTGGCAAGCAACTCCTCCTGCGTTTTCTTCTTTGAAGTGAAGATGAAGAGAAAGTAAGGAAAAAAAGTTCTTCGAGTCTCACGGAAAATAAATTACCGTGCAGCCTCCAAAAGAAAAAAAAATTTTCTTGGCAGGATTGGAATTAGATGAAATCTTTTCCAAGTAAAAAAATAAATTGCGAAATACACTGATAAAGAATGAGATGACACAACATCGTGTGGCGCCATAATTAAATGAAAATTCGTAACAGAATTCAATTAATGTGTGGAGATTTCTCGTTTTCGTAATGATCTAATTACGAAATTTCGTAATAATTTGATAAACGCATGCCATACTTATTAATAGATTTATTTATATACGTACGTACGTGCATTTGCTGTATTGTAATTATTGCATCGCCTTCTTCCTTCTCTATGTAACTGTCAAACAACGGTTGCTGCTAGGTTTTTCTGTCTGGTGATTATCTAGTCCGTAATTATTTCGTTTCGTTACCTTAATTTTTGCTACAACTTTTTCTTGGTGGTAATTTGTTCAGTAATTTCCTCACACGAAAAAAATCCATTTCAGATCAGAAACTTTTTCCTGTGTATTCATTTATCTCTCATTTATTTCGTCACCTACTTTTTGTCAGCATGCTGTACAAAAGAAGAAGTCCGGAATGAAACAGTTACTGAAATTGTTTCTTCTCTTTTTTCTGTGGTTTTAGGTTGAGTGAGATTGTTGAGGATTTGAAAAAGAGTTGAAAAAGCAGAGGAAGAGGGAGAAAAGGTGGGACATGAGATGACATAGCAGCACCCGTTGTTCGGCAGGGAAGGAAGAAGAGGTGTCCCGTTCCAGAGAATAAGAACCCCACTTTCACTCACTCACCCACTTACTCGATCAATCAATCAATCAATCAATCGGTCAATTGAGCAGATCATAATCATCAATCAAAACAGCAACAACCAACCCTGATGCACATCCTCCACCTCCACCAAAAAAAATTGACAAGACTTTCACCAAAATATAACGCATCGAGTTTATCCACAAACAACGAACGAAACGAAAATTTATTATCTGCAAAGAATGAAACAACAGCAGCCCACATCACCTGAATTTTGTAAGTCTAATTTACATATTTTACGTAGATTTGTAACTTTTTCCTGGAAATATCTATCCCATTTTCTCAAAAAAATTACAAAGATAATTACATTTCCATCTCCATTGCATCAAATCTCACTTCCGCTTTCTCCACTTTTTCTCTTCTTACAGAGTTTGTCAAGAAAGTCACCAGAGTGAAACTGGAAATCCTCCCTGAGCCAATTGCCGAGGGATTTTCCGCAACACTCTGACAACGTGACAACTTTGAAGAGACAGGAAAGCATTTGCTCATTTCCACAAGGTCTCGAGAGACATCCACATCCACCATCTCATCCCATTCCCCCACCAACCAAGCAAATCTAACAAACCATACTAAACAGCAGAGAAAGAGAGGACAGGAATCTGAAGAGCAGGAAATAAGACAAAAGTCGCTCCGCACCAGTAAAAAACAAGAACCTGTCTAAATCCTCTTTAAACCCGGCTTCTCTTCTTTCTACACCAGAAATCCAAATCCAATACAAACATTTCCCCCGAGGAGAGAAATGAGAGGACGTATAATTAAATTAAATCAGATGGGAATGATGAATATTGGGGATAAAAAAGTGGAATGCCTCCGCCTCTTGGCTGTATTATGAGGACATTTCCGTAAGTCAGGAAAGAAGGAAATGAGTAAGAAACAGCTCTAGTGCGTGTAAACCTTCTCTGTGATACAAGCTAATCAATTCAATCATCATCGTCAGCGGATGTAAAGTGGAAGGTGCAAATCATCAAGAGAAAGAAAGAGATATATAAATATATTACAGAGTAAATACGGCATCATCGATTGTCGAGCTATTGTTAACTTCTAGATTTAGATAACTTCGTGGTGGTTACCATTGTACATAAAGATAAGATAAGATAGAATAATAATAATCTGTAAAAATGCCACAAATACCAATTCTCAACATCGAGGTGGCGGAACTGAAAGACTACATCTTCGCCACCTTGGAAGATCCCAAAGCCCAGAGAAAGTTGATCCTCGTCATTGTCGCGATCGCCCTCCTGCTAGACAACATGTTGTACATGGTCATCGTACCAATCATTCCAGACTATCTGAGGTATAATAACTACCTTATTTTCAATAGGACGAAAATGATGCAGAATGATACATAACCACGATATTAATCATAATTCTTAGGAAAATTGGGGCATGGGAGACTCACACGGAAGGCGGTGAGATGATCACCGTTGCCCCGAGAGTGGTCACTTTCACCAACAACACGGGCACCTACACATACAATGAAGTCCGCCCACCAAAGCTAATTAATGGCGTTCTCGTTTATGAGGGCGAAGACAGGTGACAATTTTTGCACAATTAAAAATGGCAATGTTCTGACTGTGCAAATATAATCTCACAATTTTGTTTTCAGTGCCATAGGATTACTATTCGCAAGGTATGTAACTATATATTTAGCAGCAATACAACTAGAAATTGTGCCCTTTATCTAAATATACTTTTACACTTTACAGTAAAGCCTTGGTCCAACTGGTGAGTTACAATCTTGCCTTTTTTAATCCAACTTTTACCCCGATTTAATTTCAAGTTCATTCTTTGATCCCGTCCTATTTGTCTTCTCGCAGTTCATCAATCCCTTTTCCGGGGCGATGATTGATCGAATCGGCTACGATAAACCAATGATGTTCGGTTTGACAATCATGTTTCTCTCCACTGCCATTTTCTCGATGGCGAGCAGTTACGGGGTGCTATTTTTCGCCCGAAGTTTACAAGGAGTTGGCTCCGCATTTGCTGACACCAGCGGACTTGCCATGATTGCGGACAGATATACGGAAGAGGGTGAAAGAACCAAGGGTACGTGGCTGACCGAATGTAATAAATAGTTTGGCTGTCCGAATCCGCTAACTTTCCTCCCTTCATCTCATATAGCTCTCGGAATTGCGCTGGCATTCATCTCCTTTGGATGCTTGGTGGCCCCTCCGTTCGGTGGGGTTTTGTACGACCTGGCTGGAAAAGAAGTTCCCTTCCTCATCCTCTCCTTGGTCTGTCTTATCGATGGATTACTACTGTGGCTTGTGATGAAACCAATAAAGAGGCAGCAGAAAGATGCTGGCGTACAAAAGCCTAAAGGGGTAAGTTGAGCTATTGAGTTAAACTACACATTTCAGTTTCATATCGGTTAATTTTAAGTAATATATTTGCTTTTCGTTATGACAGACTCCAATCTGGACACTTTTTATGGGTGAGTTATTTCTTTTCGAAATTTCCCCAAGTGAAAGTAAGTGAAACCATTTCATATGACGCTATTTTTCTTTAGATCCATACATTGCATGTTGCTCTGGGGCCCTGATCATGGCCAATGTCTCGCTTGCATTCCTCGAACCAACAATTTCAGTTTGGATGATGGACACGATGGGTTCGGTAAGTTTGTAGATTTAAATTAGTTTAGCATTTAGTATAATCTTAAAATTTACTTGAATTTCAGAGTCAATCAGAGCAAGGGATGATCTGGCTGCCAGGTTTCATACCCCACGTGTTGGGAGTAGTGGTCACGGTCAAGTTATCCAAGCAATACCCGCAATATCAGTACGCCATGGCAGCTGGTGGTTTAGCCCTGGAAGGCGTTTGTTGCCTGATGATCCCCTTCTCAAAATCGTTCTGGGTCCTCATGATCCCGTTATCAGGTATGCAAATACATACATTTTATCACAAATTTCACTATTACAAGTAAAAAAATATCAAGTATTTAGTGAGCTACTGCCCGGGTATTACTGTTAGTATAAAAGCGTGCATAATTTTTGCAGGCATTTGCTTTGGTATCGCCCTCATCGACACAGCTCTACTGCCGACTCTAGGTTACTTGGTGGATTCCAGATACGTCTCCGTGTACGGGAGCATTTATGCCATCGCGGATATCTCTTACTCATTCGGTACGGTTTCTATCCAATCTATTGATTAAAGTTGGCTAAAAATTGCAAATTTTTCATGCAAAAAGAACGCCAACTCAAATCCTCCCAGCGTTATCATTTCTCCCATGCACCCACCTAACTAACTAAATAATCAATCTGTTTCCCATTCCAGCCTACGCGTTCGGTCCCATCATTGCAGGCAGCGTGATGGAGTCGATCGGTTTCACCGCGTTGAACGTGGGCATTGCCGTGGTCAATTTGGCCTACGTCCCAATGCTTTACATGCTTAGAAACATTTACGATCAAAGTTTCCGAGATGCCGCGAATGAGGCACACATTATGATGAAGGACCCACCTGACAAGCAGTACCAAACTTACGCCATGCAGGACAGGGTGCCTCCAGATTACAGCAAATCGTACGGGAGATTGGAGGACGATGACGACGAGTTTGGAGGTGGCGGACATCGCGTCACTTTTCAAGAGACTGCCATGAACTCGAATGGTACATCGCAAGCTGGCGGAGGAGGGCAGCAAGGGGGGCAATACGCGGCTTCGTGGGGTGATGAACCAACACAACCTCAACAACCTGCTAATCCCTTTAAAAGTGGTGGTGGTGGTAGTGGATCCAACCCATTCAGAGCCAATTAGTTAAGCCGATAGGATTAGATCTACGACTAAATAAATGTCGTTCGTTCCGTTAGAGAAAATGGTCACGGAGAGAGAGAAAAGAGTTTTATTTCTCGACTTCTTCCCTTTAATGGACTTTCACTCTCTCTTGAGCACGGTAAATCTTTCTTTAAGATATCATCCTCTCCTCTCATCCTGAATCTATATCTGAATCTACACAAATATATATGAAGCCTATCTTATCTATGATTATATCCCTTCATTTTATTCCCCGTTGTTCATTTTTATGTGTCCAGTGGCCGCGGAAACCGTGGGGACATTAACACGGTAGGATAGGGGAGGGAGGGGTTTGTATATGATGGACAGATGATGGGGACGCCGAACAACCGTGGGGTCATTGTCCCTTTGTCTCCACGTTTCCGCGGCCACTTAACGAGAAAAAAAACATAACGTACCTTAACCTTGATTTCCACTCTGGGTTCGTCACTCTTTAATCTTTAGGTTGAATACGAAGAGGAAACAATATATCAAGTATCAAAACATAGTAATAAGTGAAAAATGGTAGGAATATCGTCTCGTCGTACATAATACAGAAGATGTATTTAGAAAAGGAAGGAAATAATCTGATCAAAATTGTAGAACCCAAAACTACATATCCCTTGTTCGTTCATCATCAGAACTTTCAAAGGGGTTTGGTTTGGATCATAGTAGAAAACAATTTGAGAACCTAAATTAACTCTACGACACGTATAAAATTTATGGATTTTTATCAATAAATAGGATAATAATCCATTGGCTGTGGCTGAACGGATAATAAACTCGAAAGGTGCGCTCATAAGACATAATATTTAGTTAATAACATATTTATATTCATTTTTGGTAGTGACATAATTTTCATAAGTATGTAGATTTCAGAAAATCAAAATTCTAATATTTTCAAAGATTATGTATATTTTTTCGAGGTTAAAGCAATTCGGACTTGGTAATGTAGTCAACAGTTTAATCATCGGTATAAAATTCAGTTTTTAATCATAACGTAAGGAGAAATATCTATTAAAATAAGTAATTATAATCGATGCCGAATCGAATCATCAACCAAAATCGACACATATCATGTCTTCGCATTTCTGACCGGGAAGACGAATATCAAAAATATATCAGTCTTATCCTGGTCAGATTTTGTGACTCACTGTACATACATAATCTATCTATCTACATATTTAACTAAGCAGTAGGATTCAAATATGCAGATAGGAAATATTATAGCATATCATTTATTAAGTAAAATATCTTTAAACGTTTGAATAGATAATTGTAGGGTAGAATTTCTAGTAGGAGTATTTTTATTTCAAAAGATATTTTGTGTACAAAGACAGTACTGCATTTAAAACTAGGAATAACATAGCAATTTAACTAGTTTGTAAACTAGTATAATGCAAATTTTAACTAATTTGCTAACAAACGAGGCTAATCCACCAAAAATTAGGTATATGTCGTTCCTTCAAGCCTGAAATAATGCTTAGGAATTGACAAAATCATTAGCATATTACAAACTTGTATAAAAACTAGGACATATTTAAGTAGCATAAGGTTCCTTGGGGCAATATGAGACATTTTCTTTTAAAAATGTCATCATTTATATACTCATGAATTTAGAGTGGCCATCATCATCATCAAGCATAGTAAATGTTGCTTATGTATTTGTGCAGTTTTTGTGAAAAGTGGAAATATTTCGAGTAGTAGGACGTCATCACAGTCTCAAAAATTGTGGTTTATTAGGGCGAGATATCCTGCAAAAGTGTCTTTTTTGACTCCAGCAGAATTGCGAGTGTTCAATCTAGTCAGACAAGTGTAGCAAAATTTCACCTTTACTAGAATCTCTTTAATAATGATAAGAACTTATAGGTAGCTCTACTAATTTTATGTCAGACATACCATCCTTGTTGTACTGTAAACTATGAAATACTACTAATTTAGCATTACGATAAGAGCCAGCATAAGGTACATAATTAAGTATTCGACTAGATCATTATTTCAAAAATATTTACAAACTTTTTCCCATTTCTTTCCATACGGTATACGATTTGCATACAGTTTTTTGAGCAGCCAATTACTTTTTTAGCGTCAAATATGCATAAATACTTAATTTTGGTTACTTTCTTTGATCCTTTACTACGAATAAAAGCGATCATGTTGTGAATATGTACGTTTTTCTAGAAGAATATTTACCATAGCCTGACAAATACATATTTCAACTAAAATTAACCCACTCGTAGTCGCATCATTAGAATTTGTGAAAATGGTGTTATGTATTTGTACAGGAATGAAAAAAACCCAAATTAAATATGTAGTAGGCAAAATTATGGAGAAAAAATCCGATCATTATTAAATATGCATTAGTGTGTAGCAGAACTAGTAAAGTATTTAATAACTACGTCATCATATCAGTCGTTGGTTGGTTATTAATTAAATTAGTACATTGTCGTTGGTTCAGGACAAAACAAAAAATCAGAGAATTAATCATTCTAACTATTATTACTTATTATTAATAAGCCATTACCTGACCGTGTAATGGCCATACATAAATATTTGTATTTAGCGTAAGACGATTCAGACACTACATAATTTACATGTAATACTGTGGACTGTCTAGTTATAGTAGCTACATAAATACATATGTAAAACTGATGTAATCAAGAGAGGATGTGAATCTGAAAAGAAAATATTGTCACATAAATAAACACCAACAAAAAATCAAGTCCATGTCCATGTCACATCAGAAGAATGGGTTGTAACATGATTATGAGCAATAAAATAAAAAAAAGTGAACCAGTTTAACGTGCGCATAAAATTATTGGTAAAAGAAAGTAGGTGAAAAAAACGTTAATTTTTCTGCTATTGTTGATATTTATGTACGTAAATATCAACAATTTTAAGCTAAAATTTGACAAAAAATGGATATTATTACTTTCATATCGTGTATATTTATGGTGGTTGGAGCTTTAATGTTGGAAGTCTGCGGTGGTGGTGGTGGTGAAGGGAGTGAGTGAAAGTAACAAGAATATCCCATCATGAAAGTTAAGTCAAGAGTGGTTTTGCCTTGCCAACTGGCTGGCTTTCTACTCCGACTTCATTGCCTAACTGACATCCCACAACCCTCTCACACCCTTTCGCCTCATTTCATTCCTCAAATATTATGACATCCATGAAATATTAAATTTTAACGGGATCAGACCCAGCAGGAGGGCAGGCGAGTAATGTGCAAGTTGAAATTGGAAATGCAACATCTACTACGCAACTTCTAAAGAGTTAATCATATTCAAATTTCGAAAAAATAATGCGAAATTGTTGTTCATAATACAAATATGCATGTATTAAAAAACAACACTTTACTCTGTTTCAGAAATTTTATTTTGAGAACATGGTGTAATTCTATACCTTGTTTTCCAAATTGTGTGTTTTTTTTAAAACGAGGTATCACATTTTCTCTTCCGTCACTTATGACGAAGGATGGGAGACGAGGAAAGCATGACATTCGACTTGGGCGACTTTCCCTCTTTGGCCCCATGTGGTCTCTGTCTCATCTCGTCTTCGGTCCCTCATCCATTACACACTTTCCCGTTTGTGCCATTAAATATACACTCGCTCACTGGCTCGATCACTCCCTCACTTTCTCATCCTGTTATGGACCTGGTCTAGAATTACATAGTTTCATCTCGTAGAAAGTTTTTTTTTTCTCATTGCGACCAGTCCATTTTTTCTTAAACCTGCAGGAAAAATGAGTAGATAGACACGAGAATGATTATTCTTACAAGAAAATGCAGCCATGAGTGATGATGACGTAGCTGAGAAAGACGGATAAACAAATATTTCCCACTTGAACCTATAACGACACAAATGGTCCCTTTTGTACCTCATAAGTGGACATTTTGTTCCGCAAGTCCGGCAGCATTCTGTCGGTCGGTACGACTTATTTTGCTGGTGGTGGTTGTGCGGTTTCAGAGTTTGGTCGGGTCGGATGTGATGTGAGATGTGGTACTTTTCTCGTTTCCAGTTCATTCGTCGTGCTTTTTATTGTATTTTTTGTCCCCTCTCGTTCACATGGCTTGCATCCCTTTGTGGGTTGGGTGGCTAATACGTAGCCTGCCCGGTCTTTGTGAGTGAGCGAACTTTGTGAGCCTTTGATTAAGAAAGAAAGAGTCGGGAAAAGTTAATCCCGTTCAGACACTTATTGCCTCATTCTAGGGTGACAAATATCTTTCCTGACACTTTGAGGTGGGATTCTCATGTGTTTTGCGGATCTTGCAGACAAAAAGTGCAAGATGAGTTGGATTCGGATTAGTTTCTTGTCCTTTTCTTCGTCCTTTACGTCTAATCGAATTTTCTCTCTTCACTTACCAATGCACGTTCTACTAAGGCAGCATTTTCTGACGATCGCATGTAGTTACATAATAATAATAATAATAGCCTTTATTATCCTCATTTACTAGTACTAGGGAATGCACAAAAATTTAGCATAGCACACATATTTTCGTGAGCTTACATCCTATTTAAGCCATTACTACTACCGTCAACGACGTCAAATTATAAATTTAACTAGATGAACAAAACAAAACTAACTCGCTACCTACTGGCGCGACTATGTTGGTTGCATACCAAGACTAGTAATGTTTGTAAAATTTAGATACATATAAGATAATCCAATATTTAACCAATTGACAAGTTTTAATTAATAACTTACTTAAATTATAAATTGTGTTGGAAAAATGCACAAAAAACCAACTAAATTTAGAAATACAAACCAATTTTTGATTCCCCAACCAACCGAGGAGTGAGGGACAGAGGCCGCGTGGTAATTCAGATTGTAAAAAAAAACACATTAAAATAAAGAATTAATAAACAAATTTTGACTGGAATAGTTGACCAGCTTGATAAAGAACGATTTTCGCACATTGCCAATTAAAATTAATGTTATTACCAATTAAATTTAGTTAAAATTAATATAATATAAATAAATTTAGGAGAGCTCGTGCAAGAGCAAATCCTCCTCGGTTGGCGCGCAGACGGGGAATACATACATTCGTTATTTCACTCTAAACCACAGGTGAAAGTGGCAATTAGCATTGCACAACTATTCACTCGAAAATTTGGTGAAAGTGGGAATGAATAATGATATTCCCTAGTACACGAAAAAACAGGCATATGTTTACAGATTGTAGACAAAACTACACAAACTGCTGGAATTTCCTCCCATCTTCCCAGGAACTTATTTGTACACATTTCTCGTAACATGTTTACGTTTCCAGAGCTTACACACGACATGAAACTAAAACAAGTTGTTCTATGTACTACTTCAAAGAACAAATAACCAAGAACCCGGCAGTAGTAACAATATTTTTGTAGTAGGAAACGAACAAAAAAAACAAGACATTAAAATATTTATGTCAACTCAAAGTCAAGGGAAAGCACAAGGACAAGAAGAAAGTCGTGTTACGCCAATCTGAAATCAAAACCTTTGCCAATTTCGCAGAAATAAGTTTTACCTCTCATGTCAACATTTTTAGTGAAATACGTACACACTTTCTCCCCACTTCCTCCTCTCTAAATGCACGTACGTAGTCGTGTAGGAGTTATTTTATGTAAGGTAGATGAGATATCCAGTGTTTTTATACCCACGGTACATGCACCTACCTACGATAAGTATGATGCATCACTTCCCTGGCAAAACCGTACCGTAAAACAGCAGGCTGAACCAACATTTGTTTTTGGATGATGTGGGGACCATGACGAAGGGTTGGTTGGTTGGTTGGTTGGCTGGTTGTTTCTTTTTTTGGAGATCTCTCTCTCTCTAACCGGCGTGTGCATCATCGTATGAAAATTTAATTAGGTAATGGGGAAACGACTCTCTCCATGTCTCCATCTCGCTCCAAGTTGATATCTCGCTGGAGAGGAAGGAAAGGGGGCTGGATTTCGATTCGAACTCTAAAACCAGCAAAGTTTGATGTTTCCCCGTTCATTCGACACGTTTGAGTTGAAATTGCATTTGCATTTTTATCAGCTTGTTTCTATCCTTCGCAATGAGAGGAAACTATTTATTTTTTGGATTTGTGTTATAAATTGTTGATTTTTACTTGTTAAACTACACATGTACATGTCACGATTGGTATTGATCTCTGCATGAAAATAGATTTCTTTGAATCGGGTTTTACAAAAACATGTTGGTACATACATTCATGTACCAACTTGCCGACTGAGGGGTCTCATTACCACTTTGATTTCGCAATCAGTCGCACACACTACTCTGCCTGGAATGAGGAAAGTTGTTTAAATCGGAAGCAAGTAATTTCCATTCCGTCACAATCAGATAACCGAACTCGGCTCTGCATGGCCCAACAGGGCTGAAAGAAGGGAGGAGCGCTTTGATGATTCCCTCAGGACTCCTTGCCAAGCGTAATTTGTTCCTTTAATCATGTTAATTTGGACAGAAAATGTGACGGGAGACCCTTTCACTTTCACACACATACAATTCTTCGAACCCGGTAGGGAAAGCGGACGAGGAGGGGGCGATCATCTACCTAATGGCTAAGTTAATGAGGACACATTTGCACAGTTTATTCCAAAACTTGGTTCAAAAATGGTTTTCAACGCAGCTACACACGTAAATTTGCATACATAGTAATAAGCCCAAGGAAGAAGAGATGGTTTAGTCTACTGCATTGTACTTATCAACATCCTCAATAAATTTTAAGGGGGAAAAATAGTTGCGAAACGCCAACATAAATAAATAAATAAACAAACGCCCTCAATTACAAATTCTAGACAAAATGCTACCGGCTAACTTTTGTACTTTTGTTTCCCATCTGTACAATCAGTGCATAAAAGCCGTATTATTCCCAGAGGACTTTCCTTTATGCTTTTACGGGCTGAATTCACTCTTTTTCAAAGTAATTTCCTAAAAAAATGTGAATATATACACAAGAGTCGGAATTGTAGTTGCAATTGTATAACAACAATATTATGAAAGGCAAGACTCACCTTAATTATGTCGGAGAAAGGGAAAGAAGATTGTGTCTCTGTCGAGTTAATTAGTTTAATGGGGACTGAATTCACCAGAGTAATTACTTTTGGTGACAGTAATAAACTCTTTTAGTATCTAACTAACGAGGATAATATAATAAGACGCAACTTTCATTTTATCCCCTTCTCTCATCACCACGACCAAGAACATTGCCACTAAATACGGGCATGCACATATTTGGAATCATAATTATTATTACGGTACTACTACCTTTCTCCCATCCGAACTCTGATGTACAGTTCCCTTTTCTTCGCCAGTCGACACTACCAAATCGACAAATTTGCTAAATTATTCATGAATTTTGCATTGTAAATGACAAAGACAAGTTTTGAACCCTGCGTTGACCTTTGTTGAGTACATACCAGAAAGTTGGAGATGAAATGATACCTGGGGGTCATCTATAGTTCGAAGTATACTTGAAGGATAATATGCTGGCTGGTGACCGTTTTTGTACAAAATGGGTTCTGAGATAAAAGGAAGCTCGGACGAGTCCCAAGAGACCTCCAAAAATTATGTCCCATTTGCTCACACTTGCTCTTTCTTGAACAAACCAACATTTTCTATTCAGCACATATGAGCACCACACCACCAGAAGGTTTTTTTTTTCATCATGACACTTGTAACTTATTCAGCAGCTTCGAGTTTTCCTCGAGTTTTGTTACAATTGTGTGTATGTAATCTATTACGCTTTGATAATTTGCAGCTGAAATTGTTAACTTTTCATGAGAATTCATGAGAATTTACAGTCCTTCCATACTCGCGTTGGAAGGACAATCCTTCAATGGAAGGTTATTCCCCTGGATGTTTTTTTTCATTCGACAAGGACTACGAACTTGTTAACAGAAAATTATTTATAAGTGGAATCAGGTTAACTTGAGAATAATTGTAATTAATTGTATTTAACCCATTAAATACTTGTATAATTTTGATAATTACCATTAATTTTTAAAAAATTCGACTCCTCCTCGTCATTTATGCATATTTACTGTATGAATTGTAAGTGATGACTGTGTGCAGTTTGAGGGTATGACTTTTGTCCATAAATATATTTACGTTTAAAAACAAGCGATAACAGCTACCAACCTTAATAAAAGGCCATTACGGGGCTTTTGTTTCTATTCAAAAACTATTGTTAATGAATGGACCAAGTGTGGCCGGGGTGGGACGAAGGAAGGCGCTGCTTTTTGTTGTATAATAAAGTAATCATAATAAATAACCAGAACAGAGTGGGGAGAAGAAGACCCTCCGGTTGCTTTTTAGTTTTTGGGGATTGGGTTTTTGAACTTGGAAACTTAAACCCGAAACTCCCCTGGGCATTTTCATATTTCATAGTTAAGTACAAGCAAAAGGTAGCTTCCATCCATACGGAGCAGGCAGGAGAGTTTTGTTCCCCTGTGGGAAACTATATTTTGTATATAAATTTTCGGCATGTTTTTGTTCTTGGGGTATAAAATGCCAAAGTTTATATCAGTAGTTAAGCAGGAAAGGCTTTAAAAACTGTGGATTGATGCGAGCAAGATTACTCTGGCCAAATACCGACACACAAGTATTTTGACAAAAGTTAGTTTCATTATAACTTGGAAATCTTGGATGAAACTTATTAAAATCGGGGTAATTAGTGTATTCTTGGAAATATTCGAGTACATAGATTTTGTTACACGCAACACATTATTATTTGTACACAGAAATAAAGCACACACCACAAAAATTCATGATTTCAGTTGATAACCAATTAGTTTTATTACTCAAAATGAAAAATTCATCAAATCTCAATATTGTCGGGGTGTCAATTTTTTTACAATACTTGCAGACTCAGTAAATGATACATTTTTTGAAATACCAATTAAAAACCAAAATTATAAAAAAACACGTTCATATGAAAGAGTTAACAAATTTGGCCAATTGCATATAATAATAAATACGCCAATATGTACATACAAATAAAGGGACAAACGAACTATGGATAATTGCTATTGATTGTCAAAATGGCAAAAGGTAGTGTATTGATTGAATACTTTGTGATACTTATCGGGGTGCTCGTCGTAGTTGTGAGGAAAAAAAACTTATCCGTAGAATCCATAACCTCCGTAGAAGCCTGGGTATCCGAAACCTCGGTATCCATACCCGCCGTAGCCTAATTTAAAGTGTATATAAAGCAATGAAAATCTATAAAATTTATTAAAGTAAAAATTTCTTACCGCCGTATCCACCGTAGAATCCTGGATAACCGTACCCTACAAAAAACATGAAAATATTTCAAATTATTTCCAAAATTTTACTTTAAAAATTTCCAAAATTGTACTCACCCCCGTATCCAAGCCCATAGCCAAGACCGTACCCACCATAGAAGGAATTGGCAGTTTGGAGGTCCGAAGATGCAGCGGCGTCCTTTTTCGCTGGTTCAGCAGCAAGAGCAAGCGCCACACAGGCGAAGAGGGCAACGATAGCCTGCGAATTAAGAAGACACGTTTTTATTTCTGAAATATTTTTCCACAAGTATTTCTTTTTTTTAACTATCACTTACAACGATCTTGACCATTTTGGAGAATATTTTGTTGACTCGAAAGTCGAAAAAGGGCTTGGTAATTTTCTTACGATTTGAGAGTTTGCAGAGCAAAACGATTTCTGATTCTGAGAGACGGCACGTTTCACCCGTTTATATACTCCTTGGCCAATTTGAAGAAATCCATGAATACCACCAAGATTGATACCTTTATGCATACATATATGGACTCTATATACGCCCATCCGTCCATCTCGTATTAAGTTATCCATGCAGTGTCTAACCTCTTGTCACTAATTACAAATAGGTGGGCACCTAACTTAACTATACGACGATACGCCATAACAATGCTTTCTAGTTACAACTCTAGGTACACAACTTTTGTGTATGATACGACGTAAAAAGACAGAAAATACGTAAAGCAATGTAACAATACTTGAAACATGTCATACATATAACATTCTGCATAATACTTTTGCTAGTAATTTATACCACGTGGTATCGCCAGATTAGGTACTTACTCACCAACCACCGCGTGCTATACAAAGTGCAGGTACTACATACATAAATGGGATCATTTACTCATTCTCATCATAAGGATAAGAATATTTAGGCGCAGATTTACCCAAGACTTGGAAGATAAACAGGGATAACTGGGTTATTTCTGAATTGTTGGTCCATTTATCGCAATGAATGCAGTATTATTGTTTCCATTCTTTTCAGCAAATAAAAGTGAAGGTGAAGACAGCCTGGCGGAAATAAATGAGCAAACTGAACGACGTATGTATATGCACATAAACGTGACAGTAAGTAGGACAATGGAGCCAAGACGTACAAGTTTCCTTTGATTGTGTGGCATTTGTTTATGAGCTCGATTTCAATTATCCATCTCAATAAAGTGGGCAATGAAATATGTAATCGTACTTAATAACTGGGCGAGATAAATTTGAACTGTTGCGTTACTGGTCATGGACACATGAGTAAATACACAACTTGGTTCATTTTTTGCATTTGCATTTATTAATCTTGCTTAATTATCAAATGCGACGAAAAAGAGGGGAGAATGTGGCAATTGCAGAAAGAAAATAGTTGTTTCTTATGCATGCATGGCATTTGCCAATTAAGTGAGACGCAAAAAAATGCGAGATTATGAGCTTAATTAATACTCCAGGAAGAAACGCGTTTTTTTACGGGCAAATTTGACAATTTTGACACAGGTGAGATTTACAACTCTTAAAATTTATTGTAACATAAAAGCAAGTAAGCGTTTTATTAGATAAGAACAAAAAAATGTGCGAGCCTGGTAGTACAAACTTGTAACATACGTATTATTACACACAAAAAATTGCTTGAGGCCTTTACACACTGAATACGTCAAATGGTGCATAATTTATTCAGACAGGGGTCAAAATGTCTGTGATTATTTTTTTGTTCCTTCGTCGTCGTCGTCGTATGTCAATTCTTTAATCAGTCACGGAGAATTGAAACACGACCCAACATCCCATTTCCAGTGAGATTTATTTAATAATGAAGTTGTGACTGCACATTTGGGGCTGATTGGTACGAAGGACTTGCCATTGTAAAAATGTGGATCATTTTGCAACACAAACAACAACAACACCTCTTTCATAAGGATTACTGTGGTCAGTCTTTAAGGCGAGGAGATCAACCACGCTGCGGTTTTAAATTAGATGGGATTGACATTGTACACTACGCACAAATGGTCCCATTATTCCTAGTAAACCATGACCGAATCAAATTTAACATTGAATAGTGACGTCTTGTCGTGAGTCTTGGTGGTGGTGATCATGCTGACAAAAATGTTTTACATCCTGAGCTGAAGGCAATTTTTAAGAAGAATTTTTATTAATTTTTGCATTTTTATGACGGCCCAAACATAATACATTTATGAATTTAAATCTGGATCATATGTACCAATAATAACTATTTTATTAGAGTCGTTAACATTAAGTCAGTCTGATGCATAGTCGTTAAAGGAAACTATAATAAATAATCTGTTTTTAAAAGTATGACAATTTCGCCACAGGTAAAAATACTTGCAAACTTCACAATGAATTAGATAATGTAAATGTCATTGAGATTTGTACTCAATGATTTCTATTTCTTTTTTGCCTGTAATTATATGTGTAACAAAACATAATGATACGTTGTGGACATTTTATTCAAGACGTTTACACAAAATTCAGACAGTTCAGTAACACGATAATGGTGCATTTTCACAAAAAATTAATAGGCTTGAGTTTATTGTCTTACTCAGAAGTCAGGAGAGAGAAGGTGCCAATTTGAGACCATATCACATTGTGGTTAAATAAGACTACAGTTTCTGCTCTGCATTTGTTTATTATGATAACAACAGGAACAAATTCAATGATTTTCTCACTGCGTTATCATGCGTAGCATACTTGTTTGCTCTTATTTTACCTTGAGGGAACATGTTAAGAGTCGTCGTATTTACGACGATTTCTTGTGTTTTTTGTCATCTGTACTTGACGCATGCTTTACATACGTACAGCTCCCATCTCATTTCTGTATTCTTCTCTAAACATTACAAAAGTCATAATCGTTACATGTACGAAGTTGTGACATAAGAGCTCAGTTCCGTCTGGGGACTTTATCTAATGCAAGATGACGTCTATTCGTCCCCGAAGATGGTATAACACCGATTTCATTTTTACAGTCTGCATACATAAGCAAAATCCAGTACCTACTGTACGGAATTCATGAGCACTTACTTAGATGGAAACGTAGCCATCATAATCGCGTGTTATTAAGGCCACGCCACTAAATGTGAATTGTGGCAAAAGTTTTCTTGAGAAAGGACTTAATTCCATAAGGCTCAACCCCATTTCATTTCATACCCAAATATGTCTACGTACTATTATTATCTACGATTTATTTAAGTTCAAGAGTCTTGGCATTACCCATCAGATGAAATGAAAATGACCTTGGGCTCCCATCAAGAACGGAAGCGTGAGAAAATGGGCGAGTAATTTAATTTATTAAAAAATAGGCAGCACAGTTATACGCATTTGAATTGTTAATAGGCCTCCTCAAGTAGACTCCCATCAGACCAAAGCAAAAGTGTTTACCATCCATCTCATTTATTATGCTGTAATTAAAACCCTTTTATTTTTTATAGAGACACCCCGTAATACTCGTGTGTCTGTATTAAGTCATTGTCACATTTAAATATATTCATGAGACACAATCTCATGACATTACTTCATTACAAAATGATTGCACCAAGCCACTACTCACACCTTCCCCGTGAACTTAATAATGTACTTGAAACATTCCATGTTGAGAATTTGAGATTGCAATCGAATTGTTCACTCTGGTGTAACTGTAACATAAAAATAGTAGAAATAAGGGTCGTCTTTCCACGCTTCAAGGAAACTTGTATGATTTAAATGAGATACAATTATTATATGATTTAATTGCGGCTTTGTTCTGTTAACAACTTAATCCTGGACCGCCGTCGCGGCCGCGTGTTGACCTTGTCGAACAAGTAAAGAAGAAATGATTGATTAAAATATTATGCATATTTTTATAGGAAATTTTACCTAATTCGATGCACAACCCGCTGGGAGATTTCTTAAGTGTGACGTTATTTGGATGTACAAAATACTCAGGAAGTGTTTAGTTTTTTTTTTAAACAAAAGAGATCATGATTCGCAAAAGTTGTAAACCACAATAAATCAAATGCAATGCCCTTGAAGGAATAATTTGTGATTATCGATTATTTATATCAAGCTTATTCAGGAATAAGCTGGGCGTACGTAGCGAGAACTCGGTCGGTAAAGCACGACGCAGTACTTCACGATTTTTTGAAGATTTCGTGGTTCACGGAGATCCAAATTTGTATAGATGGCACGAATTACGGAAAACCTCATCCTGCAAAAAAACAAGTCATTTTTGCACTAATGAACTTCTGCTGAATCAGCCTTTTGTTCACTTTATTGCTTAAGAAAAAGAAGAGGACGGACGTGAGTTGCATGATGATGACACATCTCGATAAGTCAGATACAATTTTGACCACAGACTAAAAATGAGTATATTTACAAAGAATTTTGAACATGAGACGGTAGATTTTATCCAATCCAGACCAGACTCCAGTGCAGAACGTATTTAATGCAAGGTCGTTTTATGGCTCACGTGATGTTGTGAGATATGAGAAAACGGAAGTCAACAACCCCACGTATTTACCTACAAGGTAAGAAGGACTACACAAATAGACTACAAATTGCTACCTACTGATGCAAAATGTTCTTGGGACAATTACCATGTCCTTGGCAGAAAGCGCTTTTTGGACTGTATACCCATCCAGTTTCCGTAATGGAAATTTCAGAATTTTTACTTAATGCTTCATTCAATATTCATACGAGTTAGTTGAATCATCGAGACCTTGAGGCTGCAGATTTTTAGTGCAATTTCCATAATGGATTCTTTTAAATGGTGGTGTCATCCTTAACTTAAACACATCTTAGATACAAATAAAGTCTTGTCTTGACGGCTAGTCAAGATTTTTCCAAAAAGTCAACTTACTTACATATTTACATCAGCATGTCAATCCTAAACCAACTCATAGTCATGTCTCATCTCATTTCAGACATATGTACAACCGCAATTCCGCCCCAGTTTGTTAATATTTTATCAAAGCCTTCGCATTACTTTTGGTTTTGAGCCCAAAACTGGGGTTGAATCGTTGAATGAACAAAAAATGAAATAACTATTCGATTCGATACGGCACGTTCGTCCTCTCTTTACAATTTCACAACCTTTTCTAACGAATAAACGACAGGTCTTGGCCCCATTGAAAAGCCTTTGTGACTCGAATTCCACTTGACTTGCAGTCCAGTTCGGTTAGTTCCCCCTTCACCGGGCGCCTTATGCACGACAGAAAAGAGGAAATGGTTGCGTTGTAGTAACACTACTGCTTCAATCATCCCAATTCAGAGCTACAGAACCGGAGGGTCTTTCTCCAGTCGGACTGAACTGAATGATATCCTACGCACAGACCGAAACCAGCAGAGCAGCATCATTGTGTCGTTATGTCTTCTTATCATCGTGATGATCATCATTCTGGTGTTGTATGTGTATTGACGTGGGCAGTGGCAGCGGAAGCTTGAGGGGACAGAGGGACAATGTCCTCACGGGTATT